TTTTTCAATTTCCAACATTAGTATAAAGTAATTTTTAGAGTAAAGAAATAATGCGACAATTGTTTTTGGCTGATAATTTAATGTCTGATATCAGTAGATGTAAGACATAGGGGATTAAATGTACACTCTTGAGAGAGGTTTAAGGTCAACGCCGAAGAGAGTCTCACAATACACCATTGATAGCTAGTGTGTGGAGGTATCATTTTCGCGACCAGCATATCCGAATGATTTTCCAGCACATTAACTTGCGTCCGAGAAGGGTTATACATCGATGCAAGAATTGGTTATCACAGCACAGCACAGCCTCACAGGTCCTATGTCAAGGTAGTCCTAATTTCCGATGGTGATCTTTGGGATTTCTACTTGGAAGAACCATTACCGTAACTAATTTTTAACTAGTAATTAAAATAAAATTATTTAAATATTTTAAAAGGACTGCTAATATTTCTTTTGGCCCACAAGAGATCTTAAGTAAGTTTCCAGGATACCATCTTAATAATTGTTAAAGTTGTCTTAATAGTTGATTCATATTAATTTAAAGGGGCCTAGCATGATTTATATTTTATTAATAAATAAATATTAATATAGTCAGGCTCCATATAATTTCCCAAATGTTAATCTCATAATTAGCTGTGATGTCCTACATTGGAGTGACATACAATAGAGAAATTTATATTAAAATAAATTTATATAAAATCTCGGACAATGCATTTAATTATGCTGATATCTTAGAGACAAATCAAACCAGGCTCCATGGTAACTATCTGGCAGCTAAGCAACAAACTTATATTTTTAATTTGAGATTTAATATTGAAATGGTGCTTAAATCATAAGCAATTTGTACAATGTCCTCTAAGGTACGGGCTGTTTAGAAACTCTAAAAATTCATAATTAATTTAATTAATTGTATTGGAATCATACTTTATGGGTTCTCGGGGAGTGTTTTTAGCCTCTCAAAAATATATATATCAGTGGGTTGTCGGTTAAATATATATATATTTTATTAGATTTTAAATACTAATTTGATTCTTATGGTCTCATAAAATTACTGCAAATGATGCAGTTTCAGTTTATTATAAATTTATTCTTTGTGTTTTTTGTGTTTATTAATTCTGACAGTAGGCCCTTGTTTTGTATATATCCGAGTTGTGAAATTTTATCTTCAAATGAAGCTGACACGGTTTCCACTCAGCTTTCTCCTGCGGTGAGATGGATGCAATCAATAATCCCATATATATAGAGTTAACGACTTTTTCCCACGTAAAAATTGACTTAATAACATTTTCCTACCTATCAATTTTTAAAATATTATTTTATTATTTAAATTTATATTTTAGTGACAAACAAAAAGAAAACTTGATCCAAGTTGTTAGAGCTTTTGAAGAGGTGTGACTGATGAGTTTTTTTATGGTAAAATGTTAGATTTTGGTGGTTAGGATTAATTAGAATTTGGCTTGAGAGGTGTGGTTACGTAAACTCTAATTGCTCGATTGTCAGCGATCGACGACGTCGGCGGGAGTAGGGTTTAATGGGTTTTGGTAAATGATGATCGGAGAAGAGAACAGTGGTGGTGTGAGATCGCAAAGATGCCAAACTCGGAAACGTACATAACATAAATTTGGATAATAAAGAGATATTTTAAAAGTTTATATGTGAAAAAGTGTTATTAAACCATTATTCGTGTGGGAGAAAGTTGTTTCCTCATATATATATATATATATAAAGCTTTAGTTATTAGGGAACATATTGAAACAATATTTTTATAACAAAAATCAAGCTGTATGAATCTTTTTCTCTGATATCGGATCCATTTTGATCGACATATTTTGTATTTGTATATACGAAATTTACATATTATCATCATTCATAAGATATATTTTACCATGTAGACCTAACATTATTACTAATTTCCAGCAAAATTTTTCTCAAAAACTGCTTATTGTAATTGAATGGTACATTTTTCTATTAAATGTCAACCGCATAACAGTTTTGTGTACAAGAACTCATAGAAATTAAGAAATGTTTTCCATTTCATTCCACATATTTAATAAAAGTATTAAATTAATCAAAGTTTAACTAAGCCTTACCTTTCACCATCTAGGCCCTTGCTGGAGACATGTTATAACCCTGCTAAGACAGACGGGGCTTGATGGGACAAGCTCCATGGACATAGCTTAATGACACCAACAAAAAAATGACATTTTTAAAGGAGAATTAGAAGAAATATTGCAGGCTTAAGTTAAATTATATATAAACTAAAACCAGGTTATATAATTAATTAATTTTTCACAGGAAACAACCCTATTTAAAATACGCCAAGTTGCAAGTAATCCTACACAGAATTAGCTGGCTACATTGAAAGATGTCGAGTTTCTACCACCCAAACGCCATACAGAGATCTAATTCAGATCAAGCTGCTTCCATCCCAAGCACAGAGATAACAAATCAAGCCCCATATAAAAAGTTTTTTGTCTCGAGATTGTGGTCTCTTCAACAATGTGAGAGGTCCCATTTGTCTGATTCTGCAGATGAAGAAATGATAGAAATTCATACAATGTACTGTAGATTACAATAATCATGATGAGTTCTGGTCAGTTATGGTCTCCCACCCTCATGATATTTAGTATTTTCTCCTCTATTCTATGAACTTATTTTTATTATTTTCTTGGCTGCAACTGGATTCCGAGAAACTAGTAAGAAAATAAAGTGAACGTGGGAGTCAGAAGATGATCAATGAGAAATGGGGAGTGTATAATATAAACAAGTTGTGGTCTAAAGATTCTGCATCCTTTTGAGGGACATATCTGCATGGCTCAATACTGTTTCTTTTTTTATATATGCATTGCATCTTGTGTTCTTCCATTATGTATATTGCTATTTGTTTAAGAAAGAAAAAATCAAAAGAAAAGAAATTAAATTCAATCTTTTGTATATAGATATGCTTCGGTTGTTTGTGCGTGCAAGCGTGGGAATACACGTTTGGAGATCTACAAGGTAAATTGCCCGCTATTTTATAACAATTAATTCGTGTAAGTGTAGCCAAAGTGGCATGTCGTTCACAGTATAGTTCATTAGACGAGGAGTCATCCGCATATTATTTAAGTTATGCCATGTCGTCTATTATGTTGCATGTATCTGCCCTACACACTATTATCTGACAAACGACATATCTGTGTATAATAACTATCAAACATTTTTCTACATATTCTAAAAAATTTCAGAAAGCACTTACATATTTGAAAGAAGTACAAATTTTTTAATCATATTAAATGATTTTTTACAGTACCAAACGCTCTACCAGTTATGAGGCAAGGAGTACATATATAAAGTAACGTGTAATGGGGTGTAATGGCTCCCCTGGATACAATCTGTATGAAATGTTAAATAAAATTAGTAGTTTAAGCGTGATAAGTAATCTCTATTGGATTTTAGCAAGTTTTTCTGACATATATGTGCTAGCTCTCACATGCAGGTTTATCAGGTTCGATCTTCTTCAGTTCAGTCGTCCATTAGTGCTTGACGCCTTAAAGGCTGAGTTTCTGCACTGACTACTGAGCTTGGTCTGAACATATCAGTAAAGTTGAGGAGAATGGCTCAACTGATAACATTGGAGAGAAGTGGTTCTAGTCAATTCCACTCATGAAGAAGAAGACAAAAGGAACTGTATCAATTGAATACGATTAAACTATGAGGAGAGATTAATTGAATATCAAGAAACTTTTGAGTCACTGTTTTGCACAAGTAATCTTCATATATTGATTTTAACTCCATTATTATATCTCTATAGTAGAGTTTTTTTTTCTTGTAAATTACATGTAATTTGATTGATTTAACTAAACCCAAATAGAAAATATAGTAAAAGAATCAAAATAGACATGATATGATGAGTAATGTGAGTGAGTATCCTTAGTAATATGGTGGTGCTGCATTTAAAAATCATGAAATTTTCAATGAATTGTTCGAAATGAACGAAATAAAGACAGCAACAATAACAAAATAACAGCACAACAAATCACGGACAGTAAACAAAGAGAAAATAACACGCGTGATTTATCATGGTTCACCCAATATGGGCTATATCTAGCCAAGTCAATATTATTACAATACTTTCTCACCTCTCTCGTTTGCAATGAATGAATTACCCTATAATTGCTATCACACTCATAACAAGAGAAAAATATGTTTATATACTAGATTTAAAGTGACAAAACCTAATTTTATAAGGATTCATATTCCTAAGTCCAAACCTAATAAATTATTAAAGACTTAAAGAAATCCTACAGCGGTTCTACATAGAAAAGGCTCAAACCGCCTACAGGCCTGGGGGGGCTGCCCTCACAACCCCCACCCGCTCACCGAGGAGCAGGGCTCTCGCCTACTAACCAGTCAATGGGACTCCCAAATATGTTTATGTAACCTATTAATGCTGAAATAGTTGACAACACCAACTTGGAAAAGAGGGTTTCAAAAGTTTGTCCAATAGTGAAGCGCTGAAATTCAGCTAAGAATTTCATGTGGGCTGGACAGGTTTAATGCCGTCACTTGTATAGGTTGAATTAACCTCTTCGGAATATTTGGGCCGAATTGTAATTGGACTTCAATGGTAATAAATGGGCCTCTTTGTAGATGATTGAGTGGTGTTATCGAAGCCCCAACAATTCTCTTTGGACCCCTTTAATTCTTTTCTATGATTTTAAAGTACATTTTAATTACTTTTAAGTCTTTTTCATAGCCAATTAATTAATTAATGCCACCTCTCAAAGGCCTTTGAACAGTTGAATGGATAAACATAAATATTTCTAAGAATTACTTTAAAATTTATTACGTCACGATCAAATCATCAAATCTAACTTATGCCTTAACCGCGAAACTCAAACCTCACGATCAATCCAGTACGCTTGCGCTCAGCTTGGCGCTTACACAAGGAGAAAAATCAAACAAAAACAGTTATAATAAAGAGTTAAAAGACTTCCAAAAGAAGAAAACGGAAGAACGGAGAGATGGGGAATACGTTTTGTGGAGTTATTGGGTGCATAGACCAGGCCAGTATCGGCGTGGTCGAGAAATGGGGCCGGTTCGACAAGTTGGCTCAGCCGGGGTTCAACCTTTTCAATCCTTTCGCTGGTGAATGGCTCGCGGGAGTGATGTCCACCAGGATCAGTTCCCTCGATGTCCGCATCGAAACCAAAACCAAGGTATTTGCATTCTTACTTTTGGGTTATTATTATTATTATTATTATTATTTGGTTGTTTGTTTCATTTATATTGATAAGGAAATGTGTGAGTGTTTGATTTGTTTGTTGAATTTGTATGATTGATTGATTAGAGGTGTGTTTGTTTTGGAGGGTTTATATTGCGATTCCTCATAATGACAAAAGAAGAGGATTATTAAGCTAAGATTTGTGCTTTTTGAAGATTAGGGTTTGGTGGTGCCTATTCGGACTTTGGGGAATTCTTGAATTTAAAAAATAAAATAAAAGTGATTTTATAACGTGTGTTTTGATTCATAACGTTGTTACTCATGTAGGTTAGTGTCTTATATGCAGATGTCTAAAAAAGTTGTTGATTGAATTTGGGCAATTGGTTTTATGATGTAGGGAAAATATCCTGGAGTGGCATTTAGTTGCCGTTTCGATATCTAGCTAAGATATGAATGAAATAGAAACTAAAAACCTGAGGTGGGGATGGGGATGGGTTCTGAGCATTAGACGTTTGAAATTATATTTTCTAAGGTTGGTTGATGATATTTTGACATAAGATGGTTGCAAGAAGGTGTATTTCTGGCTTTGGATTTATAGTCGAAAGTGAGATTTATGTTACATATGGTTGGTGAACAAGGACGAAATTCTTATATGAAAACTAGCTTATCGATGTTTCATACAATTATACTTTCACCTGAAGGACTTTATGTTGTCATTCATACAGGTAGAAACATTGTTTCTTGTCATAAAAATATGTAGGAAGAAACCAAACCCTCTCCTGTCCAGTTAGTTGTCATGTATGGACTATGAACCAAGAAAGGTCATCCCAATAGTAAGCTTCTCCTTGTGATGGTTGTAGTTAAAATTATCAATGTATATTTGCATCACTCAAATTGAGCCAAGATTGTTGCAACGGTATATTTTGTGACATTTTGAATAAGACACTTAACAGATATGCTTGGCTTTGAGATGTACATAGGAATTTTCTTGTAAAAAGACTGGCCCTGAATTTATCATTCTAGTAGGAAATTGGTATTGTTATTTGTTTCTTATCTTTTTTTCTGCTGTTTCAGTATACTTGATTGAGATCTATTGTGAGTTGAGATATTTTCTTGCTTATAGTATAAAAAATGGCCCTGTAATTTCGGACAATGTCTTTGTGCAACTGCTTTGCTCAATTCAATACCGGATAGTCACACAAAATGCTGTGATGCATTTTATGAGTTGCAAAACCCCAAAGAGCAGACCAGGCTTATGTATTTGATGGTACATATGATAATGTTCTTAAACTTTCATCTTTATATTGGTATATGCTTTTTGTTTCTTCCTTCCTTCTTAGTCCTCAATTATGCATTTCTTAGTGGTTGTGCTGTTGTTCCGCGAATGACATTGGATGAGCTTTGAACAGAAGGGTGAAGTTGTAAATCTGTTTGGAGAACTTGAGAAGGTAATAGATTGTTTTGTATTCTAATATTTTAGTACCTCTGTGCTTAAAAGCTGCATGTTATGTTATATGTTTTTGCCTTGGTTTCTCTATCTATTCTCTGTGATGATCAGGCATATTAGAAGATTTTTATGTACATGAGTAAAAGATTGGGCTTGCAAGGAATAGATTTTTTTTTTTTTTTTTTTTTCATTTATCAGGAAAACTTTCTATTGCTTTTTCTGTCATTTTTTGCTTTGTGCGTCTTGCTCAACTTAGATATTATTCATGTACATATTATCGCCCTCTTTTCTTTAAAAAAAAAAAAAAAAAAAAAAAGGAATAAAAGAAGAGGAAAACAAGGTTTGTACATGGTAATTATAGTCTTTGGTTCTATGAAGTTTGAATTCAAAGTTCTATGATCCTGCATAGAACAATATAAAAGATTTCTTTAATTGTCAATGTGAAATGTCTAAAGTGCTTTGCTTTTTTTTTTTTTTTTTTTTCCTTTCTAATCATATGATTTGTAATCAAGGATAATAACATTTACTGTGACGCTCTTCTCTAGTTATTATTGGGCTTATTTCACTTGAATGTCCATTGTTGATTCTCTGATGGTTTGAATGAGTGGAATCTTTAATAGGTAATTGGATCAACATAATATCCATCGCAGGAAACTTTTGTTTCCCATAGTTTACCCCTTTGGCCCAATTATATATGTTTTTACCTTGTGTCATTGGGTAACGGGTTTTTATGTTCTATATTCAAATCATGGATCAGGTGATGGGAGCATATGGATATAGCATTGAACATATACTGATGGTTGACATTATACCTGATGCTGCTGTGCGCAAAGCAATGAATGAGATCAATGCAGGTAGTGACCTTGGTCTATTACCTTGCTGTTTGCTGTATCCAGATGTATTTTTATTTTTCAATTTCCAACATTAGTATAAAGTAATTTCTTAAAGAGTAAGAAAGATAATGCGACAATTGTTTTTGGCTTGATAATTTAATGTCTGATATCAGTAGATGTAAGACATAGGGGATTAAATGTACACTTATAAGCTAGATGTTATTCAGGCTTAATATTATGTTATTTAGTAACTGAACACTAATCAATCTCTCATTACAGCTCAAAGACTTAAGCTTGCTAGTGTATACAAAGGGGAAGCTGAGAAGATTCTCCAAGTTAAAAGAGCAGAAGCGGAAGCTGAAGCCAAGTACCTTGGTGGAGTAGGAGTGGCGAGACAACGACAGGCAATTACAGATGGTTTGAGAGAGAACATCTTGAACTTCTCTCACAAGGTGGAAGGCGCCTCAGCTAAGGAAGTGATGGATCTCATCATGGTCACTCAGTATTTCGACACAATTAAGGACCTTGGAAACTCATCAAAGAACACCACTGTTTTTATACCCCATGGTCCTGGCCATGTTAGGGATATCACAGAGCAGATACGCAATGGGATGATGGAGGGTGCCTGTGCTGAAATAAAAATCGAGTGATTTTGGCCCCTGAGCAGTTATTGTCCAACATTGCTGCCCTGGGTAAAGTTCTATCTTTTAATTTAGAGAGGCTGGGTAAAATAGATGGCGTTCAAACTAGTTAATACAGTTACATTACATCATATAGTATAGTGCGTAATGGCGTCCATATTACTGTATAGTCTCTGAGGTTGTGTAAACAATATTTTCATGTTTTGTTTGATCATCATTTGAATGGATAATTTCTGTTATTTTGTTTTCAAGGCTGTATAAGCTCTGGAAACAAGTATTGCTAATAATTTTGAAAACCGATGATTAATATGATATACAAGGGCTACAAATATATCTTCTAGAGGAGGAATTGTGGTTGGCCACCAAGATTGCATGACCGTTTAGAAACTTGACCATAATAAAACTTTTTTGCCAGTCCAGTAATTACTTGCATGAGTAAACTTTTCCCACCCAAGGTTTGCCTAATGACATTTTCCACCCAAAAAGTTTGCAAATACCACATTCTCACTCAAAAGTTAATATTTCGTTACTACCTAAAGCTAATTCTGGAGGTGAAAATTCGCTTTGCCAATACCATTTGAACCTCCAGTCTCTTCTCTATAAAACTCTTTTCATTCTGACATTTAATTTGTCGTCGATTGTCGACCACAATAAAACTAGGGTTTTTTATTCTTAACTGATTTCTGGTTAATTCTGGTAGTGAATATTCAATTTGTCACTACCATTATATTCACTGGCCTTCACTTTACAAAACTCCTCTTACCCTGGCTGATAATTCGCCAAACGTTGGATGAGAAATTGGAGAGTGTTTTGGATATTAACGGAACATAAACTTTGGGTGAAAAAGTGGTATTTTGAAACTTTTGGGTGGGAAAGTGTCATTAAGGAAAACCTTGGGTGGGAAAAAGTCGTTTACTATTACTTGCATAGTTCGCGTTTGTAGGTTGCAGGATACAAAGGTGGTGTGGGAAACAGAAGTAGATAATATTTACATCAAACGGGTGGAAAGCTACTATGTCTAGATAATACATCTGACTACTTTCCTTTAGCACCTCTTTCACCATCCCTGAATTTTCTGAAAGCAAATCCTTTAGCTCAACCTTGTGCTGTAACCTCCATTTGCCTTCGCTGTAATCCTCAAGTTCCCAAACACTTAATAACCCAGCAATAATGAGTAATCAATTGGGATCAGGGGCGGACCCAGGCCCTTTGAGGGTAGGCCCAGGCCTGCCCTCAACTTTTAAAAAAAATTTGAGAAGTTTTTTTAAAAGGTAAAAAAAAAGAGAAAAAGTTAGGTTTTGCCTTTTTTATATTCAAGTTTTTCTTTCTCAATTCCCAACTTCCCTTCCCTTTTACATGCGTATCTGGATTTGGAGTGATTGTAATCCATATTTTTGTAAATCTTTGTGTATTTTACTTTTATTAGAGTTGTGATTGAATTCTAAATTTATGTAGAATATTTTTGGTGAATTTGTGGTTATTATAAATGATAATCCTATTTTTTCCTATGATTTTGTATTGAATTTCGATAGGATTTAGGATACTTCTCATACAAATTGGGCCATAATTGCTACCTAATTTTATTAATTTGTCTTTGTAGGCCTAAACGATGATTTTGAGTATAGATGACAGTTTTGAGCGTAAATTACTTAACTTGAGCTTGGAAACTCAGAATGACCTGATTTTAGAAGCTTTAGAAAGCTAAGAAGCAGAGCTACAACTTTCATGTTTTGGGTTTTTCCTAATTCTGACTGGACAATGGTGAAAACTTGGCTTGAAGTTGTGAACAGTACATTGGAAACCGAAGGAAAACGTCTTTGGATGTGCTTCAGTATTTCTTCCATAACTTGAGCTGTAGACCTCGGATTGTTCTGATTCCTGAACGAGTAGAAACATAATATAAAGGGCTACAATTCATATTTTTAATACTTTTCCATATTAAGACTCTTTCATGCTCAAATTTGGCTCGAAAGATTCTCTCTGCGGCAAGAAAAAAGCTTCGCTGCGGCGAAACTGCGTCAGATGTGAAAAATAAAACGACGTGTTTTGGCTTGCTAGGGCTTGGTCCTTAAGTGAAAGAGGTATAAATTAGCACAAAAACGTAAGAAAAAAGGCCTTGGTTCGTCATTTGGAAGGCAGCTTTTGGAAGAAGAAGATTATTGAAGATTTGGGCTTCAAATTAGAGAAGATTTCTCCAACTTTTGCTTGTTTTTCAATGATGAATCTTGATTCAGTTTGTTTTTGTTATTTTGTTTTGTTTTTGAGTATGAACTGAGTTGTTTAGCTGATGTTTGATGTAACCTTAATACAATGATTCAAATTTATATGAATTGATTTACTTTGAGTTTTAATTTCATGATTGAGTGTTTATCTCTTTGCTTAATAACTTTTGGATGCTTGATTACCATTCAAATGTGTGTTGTTTACAATGAGATTGAGAAATGATTTGTGAATGTGCCTCTTGGGATAAATACCGTAGATTAAGCAAACACTAGAGATAGGTTTAGCGATTTATGAGAGATAGGTTTAGCGATTTATGAAATCTAGATAGAATTCCATAAAGCTTAAAAGACTTTGAGCTATTAATCTTCATTAAGCTTAAAAGACTTTAAACTCTTAATCTTCATTTTGTTAGGTGCGGAAGCTTAATAGGGATAAGTAGGAAAATATAGCCTGAGAATGTATGTTTTATAACTTAGGGAATTCAATTTTCAATCAAGGAATTAGAACTTGTATAATAGATTCTATGATTTGGGTTAGCATATCTACGTGAAATTAACACCTTAGCATTTTTTTTAGCATTTTGTTTAATTAGTTAAGTTGTTGGGTTTCGCTTTAATTTCATTATCATTCATTTATATTTTCTTAAATTGTATTTAGTTAGTTAATTTTTTATCAATCCAATTTATTGTTGCTTCAATTAGGACTTAAACTAGAGAAATCGGTACTTAGTAACACTATCCTCGTGGGAACGATACTCTACTTATCACTTTATTACTTTTTACGACTAGTGCACTTGCTATATTTGCATGTTTATCAAAAATATGCATCAGTAAACTCTTTTGATTATATTGGATTTAAGTGGATCGTTAGATTATATTCCCGTGGTTTTTTTATCTTTTCACATTGAAGATGTTTTTCTACGTAACAATTTTCTTATGTTTCCTTGTGAATTGGATGTTATTTTCTTATGTTTTCATTAGTTGATTGGCAAACAGTGGCGGAGCGAGGGCCCCCCCTGGGCAAAAATCCTGGGTCCGTCACTGATTGGGATTATCCGCAGACTTCCTCTGAACACTCCCAAGTTACGCACAAGCTTTGCACCACCAGGCACCAGGTGGTGTATCAACTTTGCACGGTGGATCAATTGCTTGACTTTGATCCACATTGTTCACCGGATCATACGCTATAACACGTCCATTTTCATCCAACCAAAGCAGGATTCCTGTGATCTCGAGTGGAGGGGGCGTGACACCTTATATTGCCTCCATTTACCACTCTCGGAACAGTAAATATCCACCTCAATCTTATTTAGAATGCGTACTATCTTGTATTCGTAGTCAATAGTATTGGTAATGCATGCTCGATTGCCACAAGGATAGCAGACAAAGCCCACCGAGATGGCGTCAAAGGGGGATCCTGGAGCAGGAGGGAGCCTTAAGTAAAGTTTAGTGACAGGATTACTGATATAATGTATACGCCTATAGCGTGTCCCGCTGCACAATGACTAGTCCTCGTAATATGCTTCTAAATCTATTGGCGGCAGACGTTTTTCCCTGAAGCGAGGGACAAAACTGAGTGAGTGATGAGTTTTGCGGCTTCGGGGGGGTTGACATGAGGAATGGAAGAGATTGATCGAAGATAGATTGAAAGTCTTCCCTGGTTTTTCACCTCATTATAACTTTCTAGCACATTGTACTGGAACAAAAAATTAAAGTTGTTATCTTGGTTATGGGTTTCAATGGAGCAATACGAGATGAGGCACGATCTTTATTTATTTATTTTTATTATTATTTTTTTTGTTGAGCGGAGGTGTCCGAGCCAACTTAGTACATTTTAACTAATCTTTCGGAGCCCTGAAGTTGACGACCGAATAAATTTCCTCAGTGGTCATACCTATTAACGTTTGTGAGACTTGAACTCATGAACTCATGTTAGACCCCTTTGCTATTTTACCATCAAGCCATCCAGTGGTGGTTTATCCTTGTAGTTGTTTCCCTTCAGCATTTTCAATCCCAATTGACATGGGAAATTTTAGAAGCTTAAGGATTTCCTGTCCTAATTGACATGGCAAAATTGGCAAGGAACTTGGAAGGCATGTGGCATTATTTGGCAATACATGTATTCCTCATAGGAATAGGATAGGATTAATTGAGGTTAAATTAAAATGTAATCCTTTAAATGTAATAATACAAGTCTCTATAAATAACCAACATATAATCACCAACCTCTCAGCTTATTTACAGCACAACAACGGGAAGAATTTGACGACAGCTCAATGTGAAAGAACAAGAAAAAGAACGAAGATGGATGTAAACAAAGGCAATTCCACCACTCTGCACAAAGTACTGTTGTGGGCTCTACGGGTCTCAGGAGAACAAAAATATGTGTCCAAAGCATTAAACGTGGAAAAACGTCTGATTCCAAGTGCATCCAACATTGGTTCCGATTCTAGTTCCAGTGAAACGACATCAAACTTTGTTGCATCGTCCAAGTGTAAAGAATAGATACAAGAACTGCAACAAAAAGATCGGATTGACAGGTTTCAAATGTCGATGTGGGGATATGTTTTGTGGGGTTCACCGATATCCGAAAGAACATTCTTGTACTTTCGATTTCAAGAAAGCTAATCGTGAAATGTTTATTAAACAAAATCCGCTGGTTAACGGTGATAAACTAGCAGAGAGAATCTGATTTTCTAGGTTATACTTTTTTTTTTTTAACAAAAAAATCACTTAGTGTATTTTCCAAAGACGTTCGGTGGTGAAACCAAACATGCTAACCAGTAACTACACCATTTTTGCTCTTATTTTAAATTAGAGTTAACACTTGTAGGACCATAAAATATTTTGGATTTGGTAGGTCAAACCTTAACAGTACAATCAGGTAGTCAGCTTAAACTATGGTTCACATACATAGATTGATTGTTCGTTACTCTGGCAAGAGATTAAGTTTACAAAGTAAAATAATAAGGATAAAAGTGAGAGAATTGAGAGCTGTGAGACTCAACTGATATTTATGTGAGAATTGCTTGTTACAAACTCTTGGATTGAGTATAAACACATTTCTCTGAGCTCTCTTTGTTTTGTGGTCCCATTTTTTTCTGAATTTTTGAAATTTAAAATTGGTCGTAATTAGTCGTAATTACTCTTTAGCTAGCCTTTTGCTTTAGTAATTTGCTTAAAAATTAAAGTTCAAACTTATATTTATGCATATGAGCCATAATCATAGAGTTTTATATATAAAAATGGTATTTTTTTTTTTTTAATAAAAAACTATATTTCAAGTATGGTAATTAACGTCAATCTCCTTGAAGTTTCAAGGCCCCTCTACTGTTGAAGCTTTAACTAATTTCAATGGTGATCATGCAGGTTCTAATGAAGACGCTAAAATCATCCGTGAAGGAAACAAACAAAGCAAAATCAAACCCAGCACCGTTAATACAAATAGGATCAACAATATCAATTGCAGCTACAACAAAAACAATAATACCAAAAGACAAAGTCGCAAAGTTAGAAAGACTGAAGAACAGCTGCAAGATATGCAGGCCACAAGGAAGTGTTATATGGCCAGACATGGCAATGTTTCATGATAAGGCTGAAGATGTGGTCCCTCTTGAAGATCTCATTATGGTCCCAACACCTATGTCAATTTCCTCTTCCTCCACCCCACCACCACAACTCCTCCTCTCTCCCGGCCTTTCCCAAATGGGAAACCATTCAATATCCCTGGTCAAGCCACGGCCTGAGAGACACCCCATTGTTGTCACTTTGAGTAATATTCTCTTCCTCTTGAAACCACCACCACCACCCAGACCCAATTTGTGAAAAATACAACTACTGCTGTTACCATTAGTACCAGCACCAAAACTTCTCTTATTAACCTCAATGTTAATTTGAGCTTAGGAAACCCTCCTGAACTGCAACATATATCTCTGCATAAAAATGCAGAAGATGCTAAGAGTGAGAACAAGAAGATTGGGTAATTGTTCCAGGATTGGAAAAGGGTCGTCTTCTATAAAGTTCTTGTATAAGCACAATGTATGGAGGCAATTTAGAGACTGAAACCAACTTGGCAATCTTCTGAGAGACCCTTGCAATTTTAATTTCTCCAAACGAGGTGGAGACCTCAAAAGCGGATTTAATTGAAGGTTTTCAGTCGGATGTTTGCTTATTATTGTTAAGGAAGATAACTTCTTCATTTCTCTCAGGCAACTGCACAGTTCTTCGCTGTTTGATCCTGTAATTCCTCCAATGTATAACTTCCTCAAGTTGGTTAAGCTCCTCAGTTGTTTCATAAAATTTTGGTCACAATCTATGCCGGAGAGTGTCTGGAGTTCCTTAAAACACAGTTTTCCCTTAGGTATCTTCAGAAAATCTTTATTATCACGTTCAAAGAAGCTTGCCATATGGAGATGTCTCAGCTCCGTAAGCATGTTGATTCCACGAGGCAATGTGCTGACATTTGTGTTTCTGATATCCAAAGTTTGTAGATTTCGCAAATTCTTCATTGAGTTGGGTAGATTTTTTATCATGGTGCCTCGCAAATCTAGATACCGCAAGTTGATCAGGTCCCCAACTTCATCCGGTAAACTTTCAATACCAACTCCTTGTAGATCCAACAGTCTGACAAGCCTGAGTTCTGCTAACAATTTTCTTAATGCAGAAGATGACATTTCAGTTGCTCTAAACAGGAGAAAGGAGCGTAGATTCAAATTACCTATATTTGCTGGGATATTTTCGGCATTGCTGTAGACTGATAATCTACGTTGTCTGTCTTCAATTTCATTATTCCTATCAACCAAAATGGCTCCAAATTTCTCTTCCTTGAACATCTGGGTTGCAACTTCACGCATTAGATTGTGTAATTTACAAGCTTTCACCACATCTCGGGCATGCAAGGTAATGGATTGGATCATACTCCTGTCAATAAGCTGCTTAAAATAACTGTTGGCAACTTCCTCTTCTGATTTCTGAGAAGTTTTTTTAACAAAGCCTTCTGCGACCCACATTCTGATTAGTCTCTTTCTCCCGATCTCATAATCTTCAAGGAACAAACCAATGTACAAGAAGCAATATTTAAGGTAATATGGTAGGTGATTGTAGCTACATACCAAGACCTTGTTTAGTCGCTCAAGATCAGTACTGTGGTTATGCTCCCAATCAAGATCATGGAGTAAGGACTGCATTTCTTGTTGCTTTGATTCCGTCCTAGACAAGTGACCTGCAAGGTTTACAATTGCGAGTGGTAACCCTTCACACCTTCTTATTATGGCCTCTGTTAATGCTTCCAATTCTCTAGGACAAGTCATCTCCTCCCCAAATGCCTTTCGGCAGAAAATGTCCCTGGCCAACTCATGAGGAAGATGTTGCAGCTCTTGAATGTGGCAATTGTCTTCCACCTTTGAAGCTATATCCCGTATCCTTGAAGTAAATATAACCAGACCTCGGTCTCTTGGCAACGCTTGCTTCAGTTCATCCCAAAGTTGAGCTTCCCATAAATCATCAACAACTAACAAGTAATTCTTGTTCTCCAGGTAACGATAGGTCCTCTCTTGCAACTGTCCCTCATTAACGTCGTCCATTATATCCAAAGCTGCCTCTTTTCTGCTTGATTTAAACTCGAATAACACAGCCTTAAGGACATCTATTAAATCGTAGGATGGCGATATAGATACCCAAGAATGACAATCAAAGCTGGCCTTAACTCTCTTGTAAACTTCTTTAACAAGAGTAGTTTTCCCCAAACCGCCCATACCAAATACAGAAATAACTCTTCGACGATTCGGCCTTCCCGCCAGTGATGATTTCATAATCTGTTCCACATCATCGTCAATTCCCAAAATGTCATCCTCCCGAGCAAAAGGTGTAGCTGCACCAGTGCTCTTAGATGAAGGGCGATAAATAATCTGAGCTTCAGAGGCGAGAATACCGTAACGGTCCCTTCTTTCCTTAACCTCTGTAACCCTTCTTTTGATCTTCCGAATCTGAGAATTGACTTGATATCGCATTTGAATGTGTTTGATGAGATTCCACCGTAGCGTACTACTATGTATTACAAACGTATCAATGATGTCTTCAGCATCGTAAACCAAATTCCTTACCTCCCCAACCCAGGCCCTAACAAGTCCATCCCGTCGTTGCCCACGATCTGCTTCTTTGAGGAAAGCTAACATGGCTTCAAGTTCGCGTTTGATCCACTCTACCTCTTCTTGAATTCCAGTGATAAGCTGTCCTCCTTTTTGAAGCTGTTCTAACGTTTTCAGGAACAGAGTGATGACTGGCTCGCCCATCTTCAGGATTCGTTCGTTACCCACCAAAATAGGAGGAATTCTATGGAAATTCTACAATCAATCGCTCTAGCACCGTCTAAATTAATTGCAGCAGCCACTGAAGAGATTTCTACCGAGTAAACGACTTTTTGTTTTTTCCACCTAAATAATGGCTTGACATTTTCATCCGTATTCTATTAAAATATTACTTCAATACTCAAATTTATATTTGTTTTCTGATTTTGCCATTGCTAATAGGGCTGTTCAAAAAAATATAAAAATTGAACTGAACTAGTAACTAAACCGATAATCGAGTCAAAAAATTGGTTAACCAAAAAAATAGTTCGATTATAGTTTAAGAAATTCAAAAAACCGAATTTTCGGTTCATTTAACGGTTTGAGAAAAAATCAAAATCAGTTAACCAAAATCGGTTATGATATGTACATAATTTAAATATTATATATTAAATAAAATAATAATAATTTAAATTAAATTCCTAAAAAAATTGTTAGTAGTGGTCAATAGATATGTATGAATGTTTAATTTTTATTTGGATATGTATTATTTATGTTTACAATTTAATTTAGGGAAAAAAAAAAGTTTTATCCAATTCAAAAGAGGAAAACGGTTTTCTCCCAAATCGGTTCGGTTTCGGTTCGGGACGGTTAACCGCTTTTGAACACCCCTAATCGCTACAACCCCACACTACCACCAATCTCTTCTTCAATCATCACTTACTATAACCTTTCAAACCCTACTCTCGTTGATAGCACCAATCGTCAGCAATCGAACAATTAGAGTTTGTACAACCTCGCACCCAAGTCAAATTCTGATAAATCACAACTACCAAAATAAAAAATTTCACTAAGAGTCATTGACCTCCCTTTTTCATAAACCTTAATGGCTTGAATTGAGTTTGCTCTATATTCTCTGTCGAAATATAAATTTAGGTAAAAGTGATATTTTAAATGTGTGTGGGGGTGAGCAAGTGTTATTAAACCGTTATTTGGGTAACGTTAACTCGATTTCTAACTGATAAATTTTTATGTCAACCTTATAACGGACCTAATAAAAATGGGCCTCTACTGGACTTCGGCCTGCAGTACCAAAACAGAGGAACTAGAAGCATCTAAAAGGATCTATTAGGCAATATGAAGGGATTAGGGGCATTAAGAGTCTTTTCACATGCATTCCCAAACTTAACATTGGTGATCTGCCCACGACGTGGGAACTGAACAAAAAAAAAAAAAATGACCAGAACCGCGGCAACTCATGTTATTAATAAAACCGATCGTTCTTATTACGGTGACCCTCTGTAGCACCATTATTTTCATACTATTTTTCCGACCAAACCCACTTCATCACAAACAAGACTCCATGGCTCGAAGCTTTGTTCTGTGGCTCCATGGTTTGGGTGACTCTGGCCCCGCCAATGAACCCATCAAGACACTCTTCACTTCTCCTGAGTTTAAATTTACCAAATGGTCCTTCCCTTCTGCTCCTAACAACCCTGTCACTTGCAACTGTAAGTATCTTTCTTATGGTGTGATTACAGTTTTTTTGTGGATTTCATCAAATGGGTTTTGTTTTTTGTTGTGTATTTTTGTTGAAGTTTTTGTCTTGGTGATCCAAGTTTCACAACTGGTGGTTGATTTGGAACTATGTGATGGTTAGTAGGTTTACGAATTTTTTTATAAGTGAAGCAAATGATGGATGTGTTTCCATTTTGTTTATTTGATTTGAGTCCTTGGAGTTTGGTAAAGAATTTAAAGGTGATCAAGTAGAGAGACAAGAGTAAAGATGCTATTTTTGTTGCTTGATTCTTTATTATAATTTTTATCCTAAACTTCCATTTGTGAAATTCATTTCTTTTAGAATAGGAAATTACATAGAACTCAAATTTGATGAAATTTCTTATGAAGAATTAAATTTTGTTTACTTGTATTTATTATGGAGCATATTATTATTGCTATAAGTTCTTAATTTTGGTATTGGGAGGTGCGTGTTTACCTACATTTTTTCCTTTATGCTTTTTTAAAAAAGCAAACTTTTTTTTTTTTTTTTTCCATATAGAGAAGAAGCAACGTCAAGCTCATATAGATAGTTTCAATTTGGTATCTGTTGATGATTAGCAGCTTCTTCAGTCATCAATTATGAGGTCAAATATTTACTGGAGAAAAGTTCTTACTTCTTATTTGTTTGTGACAACCTGGAAAAGTTTTGATCTTAATCATTTCTATAGTTACATGGTTGTTTTGTCCTGTCTTCATATCGACTTTGATAAGTTAATATTTACTTATTCCGATAAAGATATGTTTCCTTTTTCCTTCCTGCAATATCTTATGGCTTTAATTTGCTTCTCTTTGTAGATGGCTTTGTGATGCCTTCTTGGTTTGACATTCATGAGATTCCTGTAACTGCTGTAAGTTATTCCACTTTATAGATTATTTTATTTGGAAGTTATATCCCAAACCTTCATCTTATTAGATGATATTGTATTGAAATGTTGATTTAATTTGTTATAGATTTATCTTAATGTAATGGTTGTGATAAGGAAATAATATATTAATGCATGAATTGGGGTTCTTTTTATTTATTCTTTCTACTGCAATGCCGGTTAAATTTTGATGGTATAACCTGCTAACTCTGCTATCTGAAAGCTTTAGTGAGAATATTATCCCATGCAAATGCTTAGAAATTTCTTAGAGGAGAGAGCTTTAACGTGACTAGTGTCTGATCCTCTATTGGATATTGATAATCTGTTCAGATATTCATTTGAGTTTTTTGTTTATGACCCTCAGAATTCACCGAAAGATGAACCTGGTGTGCTCAAAGCGGTTCAGAACGTGCATGTGATGATAGACAAGGAAGTAGCTGCTGGAACAGATCCAAAAAATGTGTTTGTGTGTGGATTTAGTCAAGGAGGTCTCTCTCTCTGTTTCTTCTAGACATTCACAGAGACACATAAATAAGACATTACTGGTTTTGGTGATTTTGGTGCAACTGATATGAACAATTTGCAGGTGCCTTGACATTGGCTAGTGTTCTGTTGTACCCAAAAACTCTTGGAGGAGGAGCAGTTTTCAGCGGATGGATTCCTTTCAATTCTTCTTTGATTGAAAAATTTACTGCAGATGCAAGAAAGGTGCTTCTTTTATAAATATCAATCATCTATAATTATTGCTTTGAAATTCTTTCTTTTCTTCTCTCTCTCTGTCTCTCTCTCTGTCTCTTTTTCCTTTTTCCCCATAATTGCAATTTAATTCTCTTCTACCTCCTTTCTTGCCTTTCTGTTTGTAAGCATGTGAGATAAGAATTTTTGTAGTCTTTAGAGAAATGGCCAACTGGTGACAATTATAACAATGTTTATTTGCTGATGGACCTCAGATCCATGGTCAAGTATCTAAATTAGTTTTAGATTAACCTCTTTTTGAAGTTGGAAGCATGCATTTTCTGCAGGTTTTACTTGCCATTTTGAATTATACTTCTATAATGGGATGCTATTGCATGGTTTAATGGTCTGGGGTCTGAAATCTATTACAGACTCCAATTTTGTGGTCTCATGGAATGGCTGACAGAACAGTATTGTTTGAGGCTGGACAAGCAGGTCCACCTTTCCTTGAACAAGCTGGCGTAAGCTGCGAGTTTAAGGTAATAAATGTGATACTCTCTCTGATTCTCTCTTACTATCATTGAACTTTATTAAAACATTGTTTTACAATAATTTTGTAGGCTTATCCTGGTCTTGGTCACTCCATAAGCAACGATGAGCTCCGGAATCTTGAATCATGGATCAAGAGTCGTCTGAGTAGTTCTTCCTAGAGGTGTGAGTAGTATCGAAATTGCATCTGGTTATGTCATAGGCGCTATTCTGATTATTACTTGTTAAAATGAATTGGAGAGTGTTTTTTGGATTTCTGTCATTTTGTTTTTTGTGCTGTTTGTTGTTTTTGTTAAAGTTTTTTGTCTTGGTGATCCAAGTTTCAACAACTGGAGTTGATTTGGAACTGTGCGTCGTATAGTACTTTAGGAATTTTTTATTAGTGAAGCAAATGATGGATGTGTTTCCATTTGTTTTTATTTGATTTGAGTCCTTCGAGTTTGGTAAAGAGTTTAAAGGATCAAGTAGAGAGACAAAGTAAAGATGCATTTTGTTGTTGCTGATTCTTTATTATAATGTGTCATCCTAAACTTCCATTTGTGAAATTCATTTTTTTTAGAATAGGAATTATACATAGAACTCAAATTTGATGAAATTTCTTTGAGGAATTAAATTTTGTATACTTGTATTTAGGGCTGCAAAAAAAAAAGGAAACCGAACCGGACCGGAAACCGGTTAACCGTTTCGGTTTTAAAAAATTGTTAAACCGGTTTCGGTTCGGTTTCCAGTTTATATTATTTCTATAACCGTTATCGAAACCGGTTTAATAAACCGGTTTTCCTATAACTTAATATAATAATATATTTTAATTTTTAAAAATTTTTAGGCTTCTGCTGTTTGGTTAAATTTGGGGTTTTGGGAAAAGTTTTTTGAAAAAAGTTAAAAAAAAAGTTAAATTGGGCGGGTATTACGATGTAGGATTATAAATTAATAAAAGACCCCCTATATTGTTTATTTACAAAACACCCCCATAATAAATCTTAAAAGTTAACAAAAACAACCCCCAACCAATGTCAAATACAGAACAGCCGGCCACCACCGCCGGAGGGTGGCCGGGTTCACCGTATTGGCGCATGACCGGCTGGATCTTGCCATCACCGGACCAAGATATATTTCTGTATAATATCTGTCATGATCCAATTGTATCCCTTGAAATTCTTGTTACTTGATATTGGTGTATTTGCCATGTCTCTGCTCTTTTGATTATGGAGTTAGTTAAGGTTGAGATTCACAATTGGAATGATAATTGGAGTAATTGTGTTGGCCATGTTGCTCATGTTCCTATAATCCTCTATTTTCAATTGGGAATATTTTTGAAAATATTTCCTTTACTTTCTCCATTTACAGTTGGGGGGTTTTTAAACATTATTTGAACTCTTATCATCTGTAAAGTCGGAGAATTCCTAAATGTTCTGTTTATTTTTGGAAGGCAAAACTCATCCTGCATATGTACCTGCAAAAAAAAAACGATTCCTATTTGGAAATCCTCTTCATTAAACTATAAACAAGAAACTAGAGCAAACCAGGGATGATTATATTTGTAGATAGCTGGTGGAAGGTAATAGTATTTTATCGCCATCGTTATTATAGTACTATCATCAAGATGATGTTCTGTTTTATGATCTGTCAATTTATATACAAAAGTTTGTATGTATTAACTTTTCGATTCACTCCTAGACTACACATTCTGCCCTACATGGATTAAGCTAGGCAAGCTCCATACACATTCTGCCCCACTCGACAGAGTCTAAGCTAGGCAGCTCCATCGTAAGGGTTGGCCGGTTGAGGTTCGCATTTTGCTCTTTCATTGCATCGTAGCCCCCCACTGGAATCACTTATTGGCCCATATTCAATAGTTCTTACATCTGTTGTCAATGAAAAGGAGCAAACCAGGAGGGCTGCAACAAATAACCATCTCTTTGGACATAGCCGGTAATTTGAAAATTGACACCTTCCTACAGTTAGAATTTTGAGTGAAGACTGGTGAAAATGAAGGGACTCTCAAGGATTGTAATAATTGCCCAATTTGAAAAATATTGATTTGGTTTCTTTGACATATACAGTACTCTAGTATAAATAAATAAATAGAAGCACAAGTTATGGGAGAGCAAGAAGACAGAGTTGCATGTAAAGAAAAAATGACTTTTAGTGCATTTTCTGGTTGTGCAATTTTTTCATTAGAAGTAATGATACATACTCGGAGTATCAAGAGACTCGATTGAAGGATGAATTTGATAGCTCATCATCTTTAACAAAATATACTGCCCCATTCTTGACCTGCTTACATGAACATGTAGATCTGCTTGCTTCACTAGCGCACCCACCGTGATTCACAGGCACATTCCTAGTAGAGCGATGGATACTGCTATCGTTTCCAATCGCCGTTACATGTGAAAAGTTTTGAGAGACATACCTGCAGAGTTAAACTCTGAAGGGCTGTGAGGTGGTGAAAGCCATCTGGTAATTGCAATAACATCAGACAATTTGCAATAGCAGATGGCGGAGGCTTGGCATTGTGCCTTCCGATTGGCATCCATCTTTCCCAGCTTTGTATATCAAGGATACGTAGAGATTGAGCTTAGAAACCCTCCTAACTGCAACATATATCTCTGCATAAAAATGCAGAAGATGCTAAGAGTGAGAACAAGAAGATTGGGTAATTGTTCAGGATTGGAAAAGGGTCGTCTTCAATAAAGTTCTTGAATAAGTATAATAGGGGTGTTCAAAAGAACCGTTGGAACCGGAATCGACAGATACCCTAGGTTTGTTTCGGTTCCACCCAGAACCAGTCGTCTAGGGGGTAAGTTTCGGTTCCAAATTTTGGAACCGAACCAGGAACCGAAACTAATATAAAATAAAATAAGATTAGGGGGGTTAATAAAAACTTTGTAGAAAAATAATTTGAATCATTTATATTTATATTCATAACTTTAAAGTAAGTTGGTTTGACTTTTGAGAATCTACCTTTATAATAATGGAGTTTGTAATTTGAATTTATAATTTGTAATTTTATTTTGTTAACAAGTGCCAGGTGGGAGGGTATTTGTAAGTTTTTAAGGGTTTTTTTTGCGATTTTAAAAACTTTGGGAGGTCATGTAATTTTACAGGATACCCAGAACCGGAACCGGAACCGTTTGTTACAGGTTCTGGTTCGGTACCTAGGAACCGGAACCGTTGGTTCCGATTCTGATTTTAAATTTCAAGAACCGTCAGTTCCGTTCCGGTTCTAGTTCCTTAAAAAAGTGCAGGGTACCCGGAACTGAACACCCCTAATACAATGTACGAAGGCAATTTACAGACTGAAACCAACTTGGCAACCTTCTGAGAGACCCTTGCAATTTTAATTTCTCCAAACAGGGTGGAGACCTCAAAAGCGTATTTAATTGAAGGTTTTCAGTCGGATGTTTGCTTATTATTGTTAAGGAAATAACTTCTTCATTTCTCTCAGGCACTGCACAGTTCTTCGCTGTTTAATCCTGTAATTACCTCCAATGTATAACCTTCCTCAGTTGGTTAAGCTCCTCAGTTGTTTCTATAAAATTTGGTCACAATCTATGCCGGAGAGTGTCTGGATTTCCTTAAAACACAGTTTTCCTTAGGTATCTTCAGAAATCTTTATTATCACTTCAAAGAACTTGCCATATGGAGATGTCTCAGCTCCGTAAGCATGTTGATCCCATAGGCAATGTGCTGACATTTGTGTTTCTGATATCCAAAGTTTGTATTTTCGCAAATTCTTCATTGAGTTGGTAGATTTTTTATCATGGTGCCTCGAAAATCTGATACCGCAAGTTATCAGTTCCCCAACTTCATCCGGTAACTTTCAAACAACTCCTTGTAGATCCAACAGTCTGACAAGCCTGAGTTCTGCTAACATTTTCTTAATGCAGAAGTCATTTCAGTTGCTCTAAACGGAAAGGAGCGTAGATTCAATAACCTATATTGCTGGGATATTTTCGGCATTGCTGTAACTGATAATCTACTTTGTCTGTCTTCAATTTCATTATTCCTATCAACCACAATGGCTCCAAATTTCTCTTCCTTGAACATCTGGGTGTTGCAACTTCACGCATTAGATTGTGTAATTTACAAGCTTTCACACCACATCTCGGGCATGCAGGTAAGGTGTGTTGGATCATACTCCTGTCAATAAGCTGCTTAAAAATAACTTTTGGCAACTTCCTCTCTGATTTCTGAGAAGTTTTTGAACAAAGCCTTCTGCGACCCCACATTCTGATTAGTCTCTTTCTCCCGTATCTCATAATCTTCAAGGAACAAACCAATGTACAAGAAGCAATATTTAGGTAATATGGTAGGTGATTGTAGCTACATACCAAGACCTTGTTTAGTCGCTCAAGATCAGTACTGTGGTTATGCTCCCAATCAAGATCATGGAGTAAGGACTGCATTTCTTGTTGCTTTGATTCCGTCCTAGACAAGTGACCTGCAAGGTTTACAATTGCGAGTGGTAACCCTTCACACCTTCTTATTATGGCCTCTGTTAATGCTTCCAATTCTCTAGGACAAGTCATCATCTCCTCCCAAATGCCTTTCGGCAGAAAATGTCCCTGGCCAACTCATGAGAAGAGGTTGCGCTCGTGAATTGGCAATTGTCTTCCACCTTTGAAGCTATATCCCGTATCCTTGAAGTAAATATAACCAGACCTCGGTCTCTTGGCAACGCTTGCTTCAGTTCATCCCAAAGTTGAGCTTCCCATAAATCATCAACAACTAACAAGTAATTCTTGTTCTCCAGGAACGATAGGTCCTCTCTTGCAACTGTCCCTCATTAACGTCGTCCATTATATCCAAAGCTGCCTCTTTTCTCGCTTGATTTAAACTCGAAACACAGCCTAAGGACATCTATTAAATCGTAGGATGGCGATATAGATACCCAAGAATACAATCAAAGCTGGCCTTAACTCTCTTGTACTTCTTTAACAAGATTAGTTTCCCCAAACCGCCCATACCAATACAGAAATAACTCTTCGACGATTCGGCTCGCTTCCCGCCAGTGATGATTTCATATCTGTTCCACAATCATCGTCAATTCCAAAATGTCATCCTCCCGAGCAAAAGGTGTGTGCACGCGCACCAGTGTCCTTAGATAAGGGCGATAAATAATCTAGCTTCAGAGGGCGAGAATCCGTAACGGTCCCTTCTTTCCCTTAACCTCTGTAACCCTCTTTTGATCTTCCGAATCTGAGAATTGACTTGATACCGCATTTGAATGTGTTTGATGAATTCCACCGTAGCGTCATACTACTATGTATTACAAACGTATCATGATGGTCTTCAGCATCGTAAACCAATTCCTTACCTCCCCACCACCAGGCCCTAACAATCCATCCCGCGTCGTTGCCCACGATCTGCTTCTTTGAGGAAAGCTAACATGGCTTCAAGTTCGCGTTTGATCACTCTACCTCTCTTGATTCCAGTGATAAGCTGTCCTCCTTTTGAAGCTGTTCTAACGTTTTCAGGAACAGAGTGATGACTGGCTCGCCCATCTTCAGGATTCGTTCGTTACCCACCAAAATAAGGAATTCTATGGAAATTCTACAATCATCGCTCTAGCACCGTCTAAATTAATTGCACAGCCACCACTGAAGAGATTTCTACCGAGTAAACGACTTTTTGTTTTTCCACCTAAATATGGCTTGACATTTCATCCGTATTCTATTAAATATATTACTTCAATACTCAAATTTATATTTGTTTTCTGATTTTGCCATTGCTAATAGGGCTGTTCAAAAAAATATAAAAATGAACTGAACTAGTAACTAAACCGATAATCGAGTCAAAAAATTGGTAACCAAAAAAACATAGTTCGATTATAGTTTAAGAAATTCAAAAAACCGAATTTTCGGCATTTAACGGTTTGAGAAAATCAAAATCAGTTAACCAAATCGGTTATGATATGTAATAATTTAAATATTATATATTAAATAAATAATAATAATTTAAATTAATTCCTAAAAAAATTGTTAGTAGTGGTCATAGATATGTATGAATTTTAATTTTTATTTGGATATGTATTATTTATGTTTACAATTTAATTTGGGAAAAAAAAAAGTTTTATCAATTCAAAAGAGGAAAACGGTTTTCTCGTGGAAATCGTTCGGTTTCGGTCGGACGGTTAACCGCTTTTGAACACCCAATCGCTACAACCCCACACTACCACCAATCTCTTCTTCAATCATCACTTACTATAACCTTTCAAACCCTACTCCGTTGATACACCCAATCGTCACGCAATCGAACAATTAGATTTGTACAACCTCGCACCCAAGTCAAATTCTGATAAATCACAATACCAAAATAAAAAATTCACTAAGAGTCATTGACCTCCCTTTTTCATAAACCTTAATGGCTTGATTGAGTTTGCTCTATATTCTCTGTCGAAATATAAATTTAGGTAAAAGTGATATTTTAAATGTGTGTGGGGTGAGCAAGTGTTATTAAACCGTTATTGGGTACGTTAACTCGATTTCTAACTGATAAATTTTTTGTCAACCTTATAACGGACTAATAAAAATGGGCCTCACTGGACTCGGCTCGGCCTGCAGTACCAAACAGAGGAACTAGAAGCATCTAAAGGATCTATTAGGCAATATGAAGGATTAGGGGCATAAGAGTGCTCTTTCACATGCATTCCCAAACTTAACATTGGTGATCTGCCCACGACGTGGGAACTGAACAAAAAAAAAAAAATGACCAGAACCGGCAACTCATGTTATTAATAAAACCGATCGTTCTTATTACGGTGACCCTCTGTAGCACCATTATTTTCAACTATTTTTTCCGACCAAACCCACTTCATCCAAACAAGACTCCACTAGGCTCGAAGCTTTGTTCTGTGGCCAGCTCCATAAGCATGGAGGAGCTCCGGAATCTTATTATTGATAGGATGTCAAGTTAATAATGGTGAAAAATAGTATGAAAGTCATATGGGATTGCTAGAATTTGTCTATATTAACTTGGACATCCTGTCAAATAGTAGATTTACATCATCAACATTTATATAGTTCATATTTTCAAGAAATATGTTGTCAATCAAAGCCATTGGAAATTACACTGCAAACTTCTTGTTTGAATCGAAAATATGAGCAATTTGTTGGTGGAGGACAAATCATTCTGACAATATTCTTGAACTTCGAATCGATTAATCTTACTAAGCCTACAATTAAGAAAAGTCCATTTGAAAGTAAATTTGTAATAATTAATAAGAAAGATTACTCTTACTCATACATACCATCATGGAAAGATGTCTTTGCCCTTATTAATATATTTTAATGAGATAGATTGACCCTTCCCCAAACGGAAAAACTAATTTATGAAAAGAAAACATACATTATAATAAATTTGATGGCGATAGCAATTATAATGGGTGTTTGTTTAATTATTTGGGAAATACTATTTTATTTTTTTAATTACTTTTAAACCCCTTAAGTTTATTAATTTAATTAAACACTTTTGAAAAAAAAGTTTAAAAATTAATAAAAATACCCCCACCCACCCATAGTTGCCAGATTCTGACGACGGAATCTGTCACAACGGCATAGAAACGATTAGAACCGGTCGGTAATTCGTCGATCTGGCCTTTTCCGGTCAAATCCACAACGGATCTGGCCAGAAAAGGTCAGATCTGACCAATGGCCGTCGTTAACCGACAACAACGACCATATATTTGGAATCTAGCCTTTTGCTGCCATCGACGACCAGATCTGGCCATAGATTTGACCTTTTCTGAAATACCATATTGACACACGACCGGCCAAATCTGACTGGTCTGCGTCGTAACGCCATTTTCTGGTCAGATTCTAACGGTAGTGGCTAGAATCTGGCACTGTGGGTGGGTGGGGGTATTTTTATAATTTTACAAAAATTTTATATATTGGGATGTTTAGTTAAATTAGCAAATCTAAAAGATTTTTTTGTTAATTTTTAAATTTTATCTCGTAATACTTACCATATTCAACTATCCAATATTATTCATAAAATTCTATCCAAAATAACAAACCAAATACACCCAATATATATATAGAGAATATTAATATATGCACAACAACATTAGGCATTTGCGGTGGCTGAGAAGATGGAGGTGGGGAATCAGATTCATAATTGTCGGCCATAAGGGATGCCCCAACAAGAAGAATGACACAGAATCAGGTTCAAAAGTCTTGATTGCACATGAATGGCTTAGACAACTTTTGACGCACGTAGGTTTTTACATATCATTTTATTACCTAAATTAATATTTTGATTGGAAATATAAAGCAAACTCATGTTATTAATAAAACCGATTGTTCTTATTACAGTGACCCTCTGTAGCACCATATTTTCATACCATTTTTCCGACCAAACCCACTTCCCCACAAACAAGACTCCATGCCTCGAAGCTTTGTTCTGTGGCTCCATGGTTTGGGTGACTCTGGCCCTGCCAATGAACCCATCAAGACACGCTTCACTTCTCCTGAGTTTAAATTTACTAAATGGTCCTTCCCTTCTGCTCCTAACAACCCTGTCACTTGCAATGGTAAGTATCTTTCTTATGGTGGGATTATAGTTTTTTGTGATCTCAATGATTTTGTTTTTGTGCTGTCTTTGTTTTTTATTTGTGTTAAGTTTTTGTTTTGGTGATCCACCAGTTTCACAACTGGAAGTGATTTAACTGTGGCATCGTTAGTAGCTTAGGAATTTTTATTAGTGAAGCAAATGATGGATGTGTTTCCATTTGTTTATTTTTTGAGTCCTTCGAGTTTGGTAAAGAGTTTAAAGGTGATCAAGTAGAGAGACAAGAGTAAAGATGCTATTTTTGTTGCTTGTTATTCTTTATTATAATTGTCATCCTAAACTTCCATTTGTGAAATTCATTTTTTTTATAGGAAATTACATAGAACTCAAATTTGATGAAATTTCTTATGAGGAATTAAATTTTGTATACTTGTATTTAGGGCTGCAAAAAAAAAAGGGGAAACCGAACCGAACCGAGAAACCGGTTAACCGGTTTCGGTTTTAAAAAATGTTAAACCGGTTTTCGGTTCGGTTCCAGTTTATATTATTTCTATAACCGGTTAATCGAAACCGGTTAATAAACCGGTTTCCTATAACTTAATATATATTTATTTTTTTTTTAAAAATCTTTAGGCTCTTTGGTCAAAATTTGGGGTTTTGGGAAAAGTTTTTTGAAAAAAGTTAAAAAAAAGTAAATTGGGCGTATTACGATGTAGGATTTATAAATTATAAAAGACCCCCATATTTTGTTATTCAAACACCCCCTATAATAAATCTTAAAGTTAACAAAACACCCCCAACACCATGTCAAATCAGACACGCCGCCACCACCCGCCGGAGGGTCCGGTTCACCGTATTGGCGCATGACGGCTGGATCTTGCATCCGCCGGCCAAAGATATTTACTGTATACTAATCGTCATGATCCAAATTGTATCCCTTGAAATTTGTTACTTGATATTGGTGTATTTGCCATGTCTCTCTCTCTTTTGATTAGTGGAGTTAGTTTAAGGTTGAGATTCAACATTGGAATGATAAATTGGAGTAATGTGTTTGCCATGTCTGCTCATTGTTCCTATAATCCTCTATTTTCAATTGGGAATATTTTTGAAAATATTTCCTTTACTTTCTCAGTCTACAGTTGGAGGGGTTTTTAAACATTATTTGAACTCTTATCATCTGTAAAGTCGGAGATTCTAAATTGTTCTGTTATTTTTGGAAGCAAAAACTCATATCCTGCATATGTATCCTGCAAAAAAAACGATTCTCATTTGGAAATCCTCTTCATAAACTATAAACAGAACTAGAGCAAACCAGGGATGAATGATATTTGTAGATAGCTGGTGGAAGGTGAATAGTATTATATCGCCATCGTTATTATAGTACTATCATCAAGATGTGTCTGTTTTATGATCATGTCAATTTATATACAAAAGTTTGTATGTATTAACTTTTCGATTCACTACCTAGACTACACATCTGCCCCTACATGGAGTCTAAGCTAGCAAGCTCCATTACACATTCTGCCCCTACATAGGTCTAAGCGAGGCAAGCTCCACGTAAGGGGTTGGCCGGTTGAGGTTCGCATTTGCCTTTCATTGCATCGTACCCCCCACTGGAATCACTTATGGCCCATATTCAATAGTTCTTACATCTTTAGTGTCATGAAAAAGGAGCAAACCAGAGGGCTGCAACAAAATACCATCTCTTTGACATAGCCAGGTAATTTGAAAATTGCACCTTCCTACAGTTAAAATTTTGAGTGAAGACTGGGAAATGAAGGGACTCTCAAGGATTGTAATAATTGCCCAATTTGAAAAATATTGATTTGGTTTCTTTGACATATACAGTACTCTGTATAAATAATAAATAGAAGCACAAGTTATGGGAGACAAGAAGCAGTTGCATGTAAAGAAAAAATGAGACTTTTAGTGCATTTTCTGGTTGTGCAATTTTTTCATTAGAAGTATGATACATTACTCGTGATTATCAAGAGACTCGATTGAAGGATGAATTTGATAGCTGCATCATCTTTAACAAAATATACTGCCCATTCTTGACCTGCTTACATGACATGTAGATCTGCTTGCTTCACAGCGCACCCACCGTGATTCACCAGGCACATTCCTAGTAAGAGCGATGGATACTGCTATGTTTCCAATCGCCGTTAGCATGTGAAAAGTTTTGAGACATACCTGCTAGAGTTAAACTCTGAAGGCTGTGAGGTGGTGAAAGCCATCTGGTAATTGCAATAACATCAGACAATTTGCAATAAGCAGATGGCGGAGGCTTGGCATTGTGCCTTCTCGATGGCATCCATCTTTCCCAGCTTTGTATATCAAGGATACGTAGAGATGTGAGTTAGGAAACCCTCCTGAACTGCACATATATCCTTGCAAAATGCAGAAGATAGCTAAGAGTGAGCCAAGAGATTGGGTAATTGTTCTAGGATGGGAAAGGTCGTCTTCATAAATTGTTCTGAATAATAAAATTAGGGGTGTTCAAAAGAACCGGTTGGAACCGGAATCGACAGATACCCTAGGTTTGGTTCCGGTTCCTACCCGAACCTTCGTCATGGGTAGTTTCGGTTCCAAATTTTTGGAACGCGAACCAGGAACCGAAACTAATATAAAATAAAATTAAAGATTAGGGGGGTTAATAAAAACTTTTGTAGAAAATAATTGAATACATTTATATTATTTTCATAACTTTAAATAGTTGGTTTGACTTTTGAGAATCACCTTTATAAAGTAATGGAGTTTGTAATTTTGATATAATTTGTAATTTTATTTTGGTTAACAAGTCCCAGGTGGGAGGGTATTTGTAAGTTTTTAAGGGTTTTTTTTGCGATTTTAAAAACTTTTGGAGGTCATGTAATTTTACAAATACCCAGAACCGAACCGGAACCGTTGTTACAGGTTCTGGTTCTGGGTACCTAGACCGGAACCGTTGGTTCCGATTCTGATTTTAATTTCAAGGAACCGTCAGTTCCGGTTCCGTTTCTATTCTTAAAAAAGTGCAGGGTACCGAACTGAACACCCCTATGACAATGTACGAAGGCAATTTACAGACTGAAACCAACTTGGCAACCTTCTGAGAGACCCTTGCAATTAATTTCTCCAAACGAGGTGAGACCTCAAAAGCGTATTTAATTGAAGGTTTTCAGTCGGATGTTTGCTTATTATTGTTAAGGAAGATAACTTCTTCATTTCTCTCAGAGCAACTGCCAGTTCTCGCTGTTTGATCCTGTAATTCCTCCAATGTATACTTCCTCAGTTGGTTAAGCTCCTCAGTTTGTTTCATAAATTTTGGTCACAATCTATGCCGGAGAGTGTCTGAGTTCCTTAAAAACACGTTTTCCTTAGGTATCTTCAGAAAACTTATTATCACGTTCAAAGAACTTGCCATATGGAGATGTCTCAGCTCCGTAAGCATGTTGATTCCATGAGGCAATGTGCGACATTTGTGTTTCTGATATCCAAAGTTTGTAGATTTCGCAAATTCTTCATTGAGTTGGGTAGATTTTTTATCATGGTGCCTCGAAAATCTAGATACCGCAAGTTGATCAGGTCCCCAACTTCATCCGTAACTTTCAATACCAACTCCTTGTGTCCAACAGTCTGACAAGCCTAGTTCTGCTAACAATTTTCTTAATGCAGAAGATGACATTTCAGTTGCTCTAACAGGAGAAAGGAGCGTAGATTCAAATTACCTATATTTGCTGGGATATTTTCGGCATTGCTGTAGACTGAAATCTACGTTGTCTGTCTTCAATTTCATTATTCCTATCAACCACAATGGGCTCCAAATTTCTCTTCCTTGAACATCTGGTTGCAACTTCACGCATTAGATTGTGTAATTTACAAGCTTTCACACACATCTCGGGCATGCAAGGTACTGGATTGGATCATACTCCTGTCAATAAGCTGCTTAAAATAACTGTTGGCAACTTCCTCTTCTGATTTCTGAGAAGTTTTTGACCAGCCTTCTGCGACCCACATTCTGATTAGTCTCTTTCTCCCGATCTCTAATCTTCAAGGCAAACCAATGTACAAGAAGCATATTAAGGTAATATGGTATGATTGTAGCTACATACCAAGACCTTGTTTAGTCGCTCAAGATCAGTACGGTGGTTATGCTCCCATCAAGATCATGGAGTAAGGACTGCTTTCTTGTTGCTTTGATTCCGTCCAGACAGTGACCTGCAAGGTTTACAATTGCGAGTGGTAACCTTCACACCTTCTATTATGGCCTCGTTAATGCTTCCAATTCTCTAGGACAAGTCATCTCCTCCCCAAATGCTTTCGGCAGAAAATGTCCCTGGCCAACTCATGAGGAAGAGGTTGCAGCTCGTAGATGTGGCAATTGTCTTCCACCTTTGAAGCTATATCCCGTATCCTTATAAATATAACCAGACCTCGGTCTCTTGGCAACGCTTGCTTCAGTTCATCCCAAGTTGAGCTTCCCATAATCATCACAACTAACAGGTAATTCTTGTTCTCCAGGGAACGATAGGTCCTCTCTTGCAACTGTCCCCCATTAACGTCGTCCATTATATCCAAAGCTGCCTCTTTTCTGCTTGATTTAAACTCGAATAACACAGCCTTAAGGACATCTATTAAATCGTAGGATGGCGATATAGATACCCAAGAATGACAATCAAAGCTGGCCTTAACTCTCTTGTAAATTCTTTAACAAGAGTAGTTTTCCCCAAACCGCCCATACCAAATACGAAATAACTCTTCGACGATTCGGCCTTCCCGCCAGTGATGATTTCATAATCTGTTCCACATCATCGTCAATTCCCAAATGTCATCCTCCCGAGCAAAAGGTGTAGCTGACCCGTGCTCTTAATGAAGGGCGATAATAATCTGAGCTTCAGAGCGAGAATACCGTAACGGTCCCTTCTTTCCTTAACCTCTGTACCCTTCTTTTGATCTTCGAATCTAGAATTGACTTGATATCGCATTTGAATGTGTTTGATGAGATTCCACCGTAGCGTACTACTATGTATTACAAACTTCAATGATGTCTTCAGCATCGTAAACCAAATTCCTTACCTCCCACCCCAGGCCCTAACAAGTCCATCCCGTCGTTGCCCACGATCTGCTTCTTTAAGGAAAGCTAACATGGCTTCAAGTTCGCGTTTGATCCACTCTACCTCTTCTTGAATTCCAGTGATAAGCTGTCCTCCTTTTGAAGCTGTTCTAACGTTTTCAGGAACAGAGTGATGACTGGCTCGCCCTCTTCAGGATTCGTTCGTTACCCCCAAAATAGGAAAGATCTATGGAAATTCTACAATCAATCGCTCTAGCACCGTCTAAATTATTGCAGCAGCCACTGAAGATATTCCTACCGAGTAAACGACTTTTTGTTTTTCCACCTAATATGGCTTGACATTTTCATCCGTATTCTATTAAAATATTACTTCAATACTCAAATTTATATTTGTTTTCTGATTTTGCCATGCTAATAGGTGTTCAAAAAAATATAAATTGAACTGAACTAGTAACTAAACCGATAATCGAGTCAAAAAATTGGTTAACCAAAATAGTTCGATATAGTTTAAAGAAATTCAAAAAACCGAATTTTCGGTTCATTTACGGTTTGAAAAATCAAAATCAGTTAACCAAAATCGGTTATGAATATTACATAATTAAATTTATATATAAATAAAAATAATAATTTAATTAATTCCTAAAAAAATTGTTAGTAGTGGTCAATATATGTATGAATGTTTAATTTTTATTTGGATATGTATTATTTATGTTTACAATTTAATTTAGGGAAAAAAAAAGTTTTATCCAATTCAAAAGAGAAAACGGTTTCTCCCAAATCGGTTCGGTTTTCGGTTCGGGACGGTTAACCCTTTTGAACACCCCTAATCGCTACAACCCACACTACCACCAATCTCTTCTCATCATACTTACTATACCTTTCAAACCCTACTCTCGTTGATAGCACCAATCGTTCAGCAATGAACAATTAGAGTTTGTACAACCTCGCACCCAAGTCAAATTCTGATAAATCAAACTAACAAATAAAAATTTCACTAAGAGTCATTGACCTCCTTTTTCATAAACCTTAATGGCTTGAATTGAGTTTGCTCTATATTCTCTGTCGAAATATAAATTTAGGTAAAAGTGATATTTTAAATGTGTGTGGGGGTGAGCAAGTGTTATACCGTTATTTGGGTAACGTTAACTCGATTTCTAACTGATAAATTTTTATGTCAACCTTTACGGACCTAATAAAAGGGGCTCTACTGGACTTCGGCCTGCAGCCAAAACAGAGGAACTAGAAGCATCTAAAGGATCTATTAGGCAATATGAAGGGATTAGGGGCATTAAGAGTCTTTTCACATGCATTCCCAACTTAACATTGGTGATCTGCCCACGACGTGGAACTGAACAAAAAAAAAAAAATGACCAGACCCGCGGCAACTCATGTTATTATAAAACCGATCGTTCTATTCCGGTGACCCTCTGTACCACCATTTTTTCATACTATTTTTCCGACCAAACCCACTTCATCACAAACAAGACTCCATGGCTCAAGCTTTGTTCTGTGGCTCCATGGTTTGGTGTACTCTGGCCCCGCCAATGAACCCATCAAGACACTCTTCACTCTCCTGATTTTAATTTACCAATGGTCCTTCCCTTCTGCTCCTAACAACCCTGTCACTTGCAACTGTAAGACTTTCTTATGGTGTGATTACAGTTTTTTTGTGGATTTCATCAAATGGGTTTTGTTTTTTTTTGTGTGTTTTTTGTTGAAGTTTTTGTCTTGGTGATCCAAGTTCACAACTGGTGTTGATTTGGAACTATGTGATGGTTAGTAGTTTACGAATTTTTTTTATATTGAGCAAATGATGGATGTGTTTCCATTTTGTTTATTTGATTTGAGTCCTTGTAGTTTGGTAAAGAATTTACAGGTGATCAAGTAGAGAGACAAGAGTAAGATGCTATTTTTGTGCTTGATTCTTTATTATAATTTTTATCCTAAACTTCCATTTGTGAAATTCATTTCTTTTAGATAGGAAATTACATAGAACTCAAATTTGATGAAATTTCTATGAAGAATTAAATTTTGTTTACTGATTTATTATGGAGCATTTATTATTCTATAAGTTCTTAATTTTGGTATTGGGAGGTGCTGTGTACCTACATTTTTTCCTTTATGCTTTTTTAAAAAAGCAAACTTTTTTTTTTTTTTTTCCATATAGAGAAGAGCAACGTCAAGCTCATATAGATAGTTCAATTTGGTATCTGTTGATGATTAGCAGCTTCTTCAGTCATCAATTATGAGTCAAATATTTACTGGAGAATTTCTTACTTCTTATTTGTTTGTGACAACCTGGAAAAGTTTTGATCTTATCATTTCTATAGTTACATGGTTGTTTGTCCTGTCTTCATATCGACTTTGATAGTTATATTTACTTATCCGATAAAGATATGTTTCCTTTTTCCTTCCTCAATATCTTATGGCTTTAATTTGCTTCTCTTTGTAGATGGCTTTGTGATGCCTTCTGGTTTGACATTCATGAGATTCCTGTAACTGCTGTAAGTTATTCCACTGTATAGATTATTCTATTTGGAAGTTATATCCCAAACCTTCATCTTATTAGATGATTTGTATTGAAATGTTGATTTAATTTGTTATAGATTATCTAATGTAATGGTTGTGATAGGAAATAATATATTAATGCATAATTGGGGTTCTTTTATTTTATTCTTTCTACTGCAATGCCGGTTAAATTTTGATGGTATAACCTGCTAACTCTGCTATCTGAAAGCTTTAGTGAGAATATTTCCCATGCAAATGCTTAGAAATTTCTTAGAGGAGAGAGCTTTAACGTGACTATGTCTGATCCTCTATTGGATATTGATAATCTGTTCAGATATTCATTTGAGTTTTTTGTTTATGACCCTCAGAATTCACCGAAATGAACCTGGTGTGCTCAAGCGGTTCAGAACGTGCATGTGATGATAGACAAGGAAGTAGCTGCTGGAACAGATCCAAAAATGTGTTTGTGTGTGGATTTAGTCAGGAGGGTCTCTCTCTCTGTTTCTCTAGACATCACAGAGACACATAATAAGACATTACTGGTTTTGGTGATTTTGGTGCAACTGATATGAACAATTTGCAGGTGCCTTGACATTGGCTAGTGTTCTGTTGTACCCAAAAACTCTTGGAGGAGGAGCAGTTTTCAGCGGATGGATTCCTTTACTTCTTCTTTGATTAAAAATTTACTGCAATGCAAAGGTGCTTCTTTTATAAATCAATCATCTATAATTATTGCTTTGAAATTCTTTCTTTTCTTCTCTCTCTCTGTCTCTCTCTCTGTCTCTTTTTCCTTTTCCCCATAATTGCAATTTAATTCTCTTCTACCTCCTTTCTTGCCTTTCTGTTTGTAAGCTGTGAGATAAGAATTTTTGTAGTCTTTGAGAAAATGGCCAACGTGTGACAATTATAACAATGTTTATTTGCTGATGGACCTCAGACCATGGTCAAGTATCTAAATTAGTTGTAGATTAACCTCTGTTTGAAGTTGGAACATGGAGTTTCTGCAGGTTTTACTTGCCATTTTGAATTATACTTCTATAATGGATGCTATTGCATGGTTTAATGGTCGGGGGTCTGAAATCTATTACAGACTCCAATTTTGTGGTCTCATGGAATGGCTGACAGAACGTATTGTTTAGGCTGGACAAGCAGGTCCACCTTTCCTTGAACAGCTGGCGTAGCTGCGAGTTTAAGGTAATAAATGTGATACTCTCTGATTCTCTCTTACTATCATTGAACTTTATTAAAACATGTTTTACAATAATTTTGTAGGCTTATCCTGGTCTTGGTCACTCCATAAGCAACGATGAGCTCCGGAATCTTGAATCATGGATCAAGAGTCGTCTGTAGTTTCTTCCTAGAGGTGTGAGTAGTATCGAAATTGCATCTGGTTATGTCATGGGCGCTATTCTGATTATTACTTTTAAAATGAATGGAAGATGAAATTTTATAAGATAATTATGCATATTTGCGGTAATAAAACTTGAATTCACTGGATCTCTTTTGGTTCGGTGAACAATTAGGCATTTTTTCTACTTATTGAACAATTTTGAAACCACAGAAGTGGACTAAGTTTCCAATCAGATTAGAGCACACTTTACAATTGCAACTGATAACCTGTGGCTTCTTCCAATGTTCTGGCCTCTCTGTACCTCAAATTTTCAGGGCAAGTCCACTGGCCCTGGAATGCCTTTCTGCCGAAAATGATCCCATAACTCCTATGAAAGGTTGCCGCATTTTCCAATGGTGTAAATCCAAGGGCATAGATTCAAAGCTAGTTTTAACTCTCCTGTAAACTTCATGAACAAGAGGGGCCTTCAAGCTTCCCATAACACGTCCTGTTACCATGGCTTGGAGCTCGCTCTTTATCCACTCTTATCCAGTGATTAGAAATCGGACCCGTGCAGGGACCTGGCTAGGCCATTGGTCTCAAGTCGAGTAGTTTAATAAGTTTGACCGGCAGGTCAAAATGGTGTCTAAAGGTTTGAAATCTATAAAAATACCCATAAAAATTACATGTAACTATAAGTTTGAAATCTTGCAAAAACACTCCAAACACCATTGTCGACATTGGCAAAAATGGCTTGTTTTCGATGACAACAACACTCCTCATCACCACGAAAATACTCTTCGCAGCCTCCCGACCAAAACTCATTTCACCCCTCTCTTGTATGCCCCCCCAATCGTTAGAGACAACAGGCTCTTTTTGGTGACATTGTTTTGCAATTGTTGGTCGATTCATTCACTAGAAATCGATATTGTTGCCATCATTCAACTCACCGGTCATTCCTCTTCAAAAGTCCTAACATTCTAGCTTTCAATTATTCGTGAATTGATGTCCTAATTTCTAGAGTTTTGAATGAATAAGAAAATTTGTAATCCGACTTAATGAAGGCTTCGGGTCAGGATTGAACCGGTTCAACCGGCCAAGCCAGGCCAGGTTCCTAATCACTGCTCTTACCTCCACTTGTTTAAGCTTGAGTCACTTTTAAATCTATAAACAACATAAAAGTCAATAAAATTAGGCAGAAAGTGTAAAAGCCACAAGACATTACACATATTTTTTTGGCCGTATTTGATAATTTCAGTCCATACTTTCGCATCAAAAGCAACAATCGGTCAAGTCACAACACAACATTCATCCACTAAAATAGAAAGAGACGGTATTATCCATGGGAGACGCTCAAAGTTTTTGGAGAATTTGAGTTTCTCCTCCAGTAATGTAAGCTCTTGTTGGGCTTGGGGGTTTGGATATTAGAAAAACTCTATTAGGATCCAACATTGAAAGGAAAAATGGTGAACATGTGGGTTATAAATGCTTGGGCACTCTCCCTGACAAGTCGGTTTTTCAAGGAGAGTTCTATCCAAGCCCATGAAAGACCCATGGCCCAGCCCAAATTGTTAAATTATTGGAATGGGTTCCTACCAATTGGTATCAGAGCATGATCATGTGCACGCATGACAAGCTGACCTTGGGCCCAGGCTACTATCCCAAGGAAAGGGGATCCGCAAAGTCACTTAAGGGGTAAAGAGGCCGACTTGGAGCTCATGCAGTAGGGCCCAATGGGCCCCTCGAGGGGTCGAGAAGGAGAGTTTTTGATAGGCTTCTAGGTGAAGTAAGACCCAAAGAGAGGGCAGTAAAGGCCGATGAGGGCGAGGTAGCCGATGAGAGCGGACACTCTCTAGAAAGAAGACCAACGACAGCGTTGGATCTCGAAGCGTGTGTGAATATTAGGATCCCATATTGAAAAGAAAAATGGTGGGCATATGGGTTATAAAGGTCTGAGCACCCTCTTTTGACAAGTCGATTTTTCAATGAGAGTTCTATCCAAGCCTATAAAAAATCCATAACCCAACCCAAATTGTGGAGTGTTCCTATCAAACTCAAACCCAAATGGGAGAGCAGGAGAGGAAAGACTAGATCCACCAACCCGATTGACGTATAAAGAGGGACTACTTCTGAAGACAGACAGGGACAATACAAATAATAAATCATGGTAGTAGGTCCCATCACATCACTGATCAACCCCACCAACCTTCAAGATGCTCAAATCTATCAAACACGATTCACTCACTTTCACAACTCTACCACCTCTTTTCATACTCCTTCATCACACCTTAAACTTCCCGCAAATCTACGTCACCAACCCCAAGATTACGGTAAAACATAAATATAAAATAAAATAAAAAAGAAGAACGCCCTATCTATCAACCTTTCAAAGTCCAAACCTCCCAGTCTCCTTCCCTATTAGAAATAAAACTCGAAACTCTTTCCCTGTCTAAACCAGATTCCATCTCATCATCATCAACTATGAAGAAACTATACCGCAAAGGCACGGTTCATCCTTCTCCGCCAATAATATCCGATCACCTGTCCTTTCTTCCCGCCACAATACTCACCCTCACGGCGGCTCTTTCTCCTGAAGATAGAGAGGTTTTAGCTTATCTCATCTCTTGCTCCAACCACAACATCTGCGTTGTCAACAACTCTCAGAGTCAGAGAAAAAACAACAACACCCAGAAGACTGCGAGTGCTTCGCTCGGTAAAAGTAAAAGTAATAGTAGTAATAGTAACGATCATCCTCCTTTTTTCAACTGCGATTGTTTTAGATGTTATATGAGTTACTGGGTCAGGTGGGACGCGTCGCCTAATCGCCAACTGATACACGAGATCATCGACGCTTTTGAAGATGATTTGTTGCGCGATAACAAGAAGGTTAAAAGCAACAAGAAGGATAAGAAAAAGAAAGGTGGTGGGAATTATAATAACGATAACTCGGGTGAGTTAAAACGGCCGCCGAGTAGTGATCGTCAGTTGAGTTTGGGAAAGGACCAGTCAGCTGAGTCAGAGTATTCGGAAGAAACGAGTTGTAAAGATGGTGAAAAGGGTTTTGATGGCCACCATGATGAAGAAGGAGAAGAGAGAGGTTCAGTGAAGCGCTTCGTTAGTTTTATTGGAGAAAAGATATGGGGTGTTTGGGGATAATCTTGAAGCTTGCAAGATTAAAGAGGTGGGTTTAGTTTAATTCTAGTTTTAATTTGTTCTCTACTAAGAGAAGCAAATTTATTTTTGGTTTTTCTTACTGTTTTTGCTTCTTGTATATTACCCTTTTATAATGTATAAATTAAATGGGTAGTTTTATTTTTAAGCATCAATCTTTCAAACCCATCAATATTGATGTTTCTCTCTTCAGTTCTTCTCCTCTCTGTACATATAATAAGTGATTGATCATTTGATTGATTACCTTCATTTGTATTTGTGTTTAGAGTTTCTTATCTTACTGTTTCCATAACATTTTCTATGAATGCTCTTATCGGAATTAGACCTCCGATCAATTCGCCGATCGTTCTAGTGGGCAAGTTTCAACAATAATCCTTCCGCAGTTCACCTAGGGTTTTTTAGCAGACTTCTTGCGACGTCGCAGGCAGCAAACCGGCCAAGTCCATGCCATCCGAAAACTTAAACGGGCATTCATTTGGTTCCATAATGCAAATATTAGAGGTTTCTTTACATTTTGAAGTTAGTTTGATCATTTCAGAATTCTGTTAGTACCATTCAAATTCGCTCAAGGTAGAAGTTTTTCTTTTATTTATTTATTTTCTAGAAAATGGTGTGGGATTGGGAAAATTTTTGAACCCAAATAAAGAAAACCCTAAAATTAGTTTCCATTTTGGGGAAAAAGAAATTTATCTCTTGGAAGCCATGTTGCAAGGGAATATTGCTATTGCGGACATTGTAGTTGTACTTGTATTACGCGCGTGTTATTTTCTTATTGGTTTATAAAAAATTTAAGCCTAATATATATTTGAATTAATTTCCATTTCTGAGTGTTAAATTTAGTACTGAAAAACAACAGAGGGTATAATGGTCAGGATGGAAAAATGTTTATGGATGTAATAGGTGTCACAATAACCGAGGTCGGCAAAAGCAAGAGGCTTCTTCGATTAAAGCGAAGGACCCATTAAAAAGTCCTCCCCACTAATGACAGTATGACACTCTAATCCAAGCTCTCTCTTTTGTGGTTCTCCAAGAGCATTTATTCTTTTCATATTCTTCATAAAATTTCACTCACTTTTACCATCTTACCCCTTCTCACATTTTCCTTTATCAATAATTTTACCAGAGAAATAGGCTACATCATCCATTATTTATAGTGAACACATTCATTAACAAACCATTCGTCGGTAACTTAGATGGTTAGGGAGAATTCGAGATAGGTGGATAGGCGTACAGACCAGTTTGTGTGTGTATCTCAACTAATCCGGAGGCTATTGAACACACCTACAAGCCCAATATTTCAGATAAATACCAAATGTGGTAAGTCACAATTATATAGTGAACACATTCATTACAAACCCATTTATCGGTAACCCAGATGGTTAGAGCGAATTCGAGATAGGTGGATAGGCGTACATCCAGTTTGCACGCACCTAACTAATCCGGAGGTTCATTGAACACCCTACAGTCCAATGTTTCAAGTAAGTCACAAATATGGCAAATGAGTCTAAGATGGTTTGAACCCAAAAAGTCAATAAAGGGAACAAACTTTAGTGACTTCAGGTCAACCTTTTATACAGTTTCTCAAGTTCGATTATCCATCTGAGCAAACTTTATGCGATTAAGTGTTACGCTGGGCTCCCCCGCGTGAACACATAATTCTCAATAAGAAAAATTCAATTGTAATAAGTAATCTACATCTAACCATTATTATATACAAAGAGTAATACAGTAAGTGATATTGTGGGTGTGAAAGAGTTTTGATAAGATAAGCTTCCTTATGATTAATAGTAATATTAGTACTTAAGACATAGGTACTTCAAATATTGTTTTTATTGGCATTTTCTAAAGAGTAGTTGGCGGTGCTATAATTGTTGTTTAAGTTTAGCAAAGATTTAACATACTATGGTCTAGCATGCTTCACATTTTTTTATAAAGTGGTTTGTCTCTCTTTAAAATAAATTATATGAATTTATGGAGTATTTTAAA